TCTCTCTCTCTCTCTCTCTCTCTCTCTCTCTCTCTCTCTCTCTCTCTCTCTCTCTCGCTATGGATCTGTCAGTCTGTTGTAGACAAGTCCTGGCACCTAGTCACTGGAAGTCCTAATACTTGAGTCCTGTGTATTTAGCCACAGCATTTGTTTAGACAGATTCGGATATGCACTGGAACCTAAGACCCACAGATACAGCCTTTTAAAAATGTTTTTGTTTGGTTTGCTTGTTTTTCGAGACAGGGTTTCTCTATGTGACAACCCTGGCTGTCCTGTAACTCACTCTGTAGACCAGGCTGGCATCAAACTCACAGAGCATCCCAAGTGCTGGGATTAAAGGTGTGTGCCACCACCGCCTCTCAGGCCTTTTGAAATGTAACAGACAACTTTAATTCCATTCCCATTTTTATGCTGGTAGTTTTGCTATAAATCTTGCCAATTACAGTAACCTAAGATTTCTGCAAGGTGCTAGGATGTCTCAAATGAACTTCAAGAAGTGTGGGATGAGCTCAAAAGCAACAACCTGACTTTATATACATGCAAGTCACTTTTAACTGTTAAGAGAGAGATTGCAGATGTTCAGGTAAGGTACTGATCTTCCTACCAACCATGCTAATATTTCCCTCCTTAAATCTTTTTAGATGACAAGGGAACATGGGAGAGATAGGTTTTCTTTTACTTGACCCAAAGTTTAAAATAAAAATTAGTTACAGGCACTAAATTTTTAACACCTATTTTAAACCAAAGTGTTTACAGAAAGAAGGCAAACTATTATTCATGAAAGTTTAAAAATAATTTGAGTAAAAATTACAAGAATATAAAAGCTTTCTATACTTACTGGAAGAACAAGCCCTCTCAGAGTAATTTCCCCAGTCATGGCTACATCTGAACGCACCAGCCGCCCACTGAAAAGTGAGGCGAGACAAGTTACTATGGTAACACCAGCAGATGGTCCATCTTTTGTGACAGCTCCAGCTGGGAAGTGCAGATGGATGTCTGTGTTGTCAAGAAGATCAAAACTTCCAAAAGCTTTAAAAAGGAAAAAGGGAATTTTAATGTAGAGAAATTAAACCTATTTTTTTTCTCTGAATAAAATCAAACACAAAATGGATGTTTTGTGTAAATGGACCCTTCAAAAATATTAATGGATAGTGTACTTAGAGTGAGGTCTGGATGGAAAGATTCATTCTACTCTAAGTATGATTTAAAACAAACCTTTGCTCGTTTCTAGCTCAGGCACTAAGCCAAACAGCTCTAACACGGTCACTAGAGTCTCCGTAGGCGTTCAGAAGCCAAGCACTGGACGTTACTGAGTGGGTCACCTTTGTCACACAATGTAAGACAAGCTTCCTTGATCAAGCTTCCTTGATCATGACCCAGGGCCCTCATTCCCAGCTGTGTCCCCACTGTGGCTGGGTCATGTACCATTAGTCAGGTGATACTTCTTCGCATTGCTTCGAAGCCAGCTGATGGCAAGATGGGCAGACTCCTTCATGACGTCCCCGAGCTGGCCAGTCAGTGTTAGCTGGCCTTCACCATCCATCCGACTTGCCTCCACAAACATGATTTTGCCACCCAAGGGAGTCCATGCTAATCCTATTGCCACTCCAGGTTGACTCAAACGCTCAGATACCTTGAAGGATGCAAACCAATCAATTGTGTCAACATGGAGAAATGATTTCCAGAGCATTTAATCATACTGTCCTCTAAGACTCGCTTTTCCAGAGCAAACTTAAGCACTAACCCTCTGAGAACTTACTACCTGACATTATTTTGAGATACCCTCTCACTTTGTGGCTGTCTGCCACAAGAGATACATACACTTCTTATTTAGTATTTGCCAGATGCAGTATAGCCCCAGAACACGGGTGAGGAACTGACTTCCAAGAGCTGGGTCCAATTATATATGCCTTGATTTTCAGGAAACAGTTGCTTTATCAGTGTATCTTTATTGGACTGTACATCTCTACATATCCAAAGCCTGACTGGATTTTCAGTATGTGAGCTTGCTTCAGGGAGCTGCAGCAGCTCTCCCAGGCTTTCTGTAGCGACTGCAGAAACACTGCCACTCCTTGGTGATCCCCTACACTCGGGGCCTGGGACAGCCCTGTGCGGCCTGGCTGCAGTGTAAGTGGAACAAGCTGCTTAGCTGGGTGATAAGCTATAGGTTAACACATCCCAGATATGAAAATGCAAAGTAACAGTTGAAAGACAGCAATGCACTCCAGTCTCCGGACTGCCCATTCTGTTGTGTGGTCTGTGCCAGAGGAAATAAGAGGAAATAAGTACAGTATGTCACCAAGTATCAATCCAGTGTGCGGCTTCTCCACCGTCAGGTGCTGTGTCACTATGGCTCTGCTAGAAGGCCGGGTGCCCACACCCAGCCTTTCTCTAGCAGGTGTGTGCAGTGGAAACGGTGGCATCAGGGAAGTCACTGGGGAGTCAACTTACTGTAAGAGCTAACTCTGACCTTTCACTTCACAGGTAGGCAGCAGGTTTAGCTACCCTTGGATACCAGCCCAGCTCAACCACAGTCAGTTCCCTCTAGCACTGGCACCTGCTCTGTGCTATATTTAATTGAGAAAGATGGAAAAGATAGGCCAGTGCTGTTTAAGAATAAAAAAACCAGATGATAAAACTGTTCATGACTTTAAAAACACTAGTACAGGGTCAGTTTTCTTATTCTTTTTATTGCATGGCTTCTTTCCAGGGCTGGATGAACTAATCCTAAAGTATAGTCTTCAGAATGCAAAGTTATGTTTAATGCAATAAGCCATTTTTTTAAAAAAATTGATTTTTTAATACCTGTGTGTATTTTTTAAAGATTTATTTATTTATTATGTATACAGTGTTCTGCCTGCATGTATGCCTGTAGGCCGGAAGAGGGTATCAGATCTCCTAACAGATGGCTGTGAGCCATCATGTGGTTGCTGGGAATTGAACTCAGGACCTCTGGAAGGGCAATCAGTGCTCTTAACCTCTGAGCCATCTCTCCAGCCCCTGTCAATCATATTCTTACAGTTGAATCCTCAAAACTATTAACCATGTTGCTTCTTGAAACCAGGCAAGATGGGGAGACAGCTCAGCAGTCAAGATCACTTAGTGGTCTTGTAGAGGATCCAGGTTTAGCTACTAACACTTACATGGCAGCTCATAGCCAACTGCCTGTTAACTCCAGTTTCAGGGGATCCCATTCCCTCTTCAGGCCTCCATGGGCACCAAGGATGCAAGTGGTACATAGTCATACATTCAGGTAAAACATCCATACACATAAAACTGAAAAAGAAAGAAACCAGGCTGGGAAGATGATGTAATAGGTAAAAGAGCTTGCTCTGTAAATCTGATGACCTGAGTTCAATCCCAGGCTCAAGTGAAAAGCCAAGTACTTAATTCCAGCATTCCTATGGCAATTGGAGGTAGAGATGGAGACTCATCTGGAAGGCTGCACATCAGTTAGCCTGATATAGGTAGCGTCAAAACCAAGAAGGACCCTACCTCAAAACCAATGTGGGAAGGCAGGTGTCCTCTCATGGCATGAAAGTGGACATGTGCACATATTCACACACACACACACACACACACACTTTTTTTTTTTTAACACCATCTGCTGGATAATCTTGGTATCCTGGGCAGGAGACTGGGAGACTGTGAACTGGAAGGATGGATGTGGCCAGGCTGAAAGGATCAGACCCACAGTAGGCGGAGACCCACAGTAGGCAGAGACCCACAGTAGGTGGAGAGTAGTGACGACCTGAATGACACACACGAGCAGGAGAATGAAGTGATGATCAAATGGAGGATCTCTGTGGCCAAGGGTAGTACAATTATCCAAGGGAAGATCCTGCCATTCTTAGACATGGGGTCCTGAGGTTTTGTGTCCTCATATAAAACTCAACAATCAAGCACATAGGGAGTCCAAACATCTCTTAAATGCAAGCTTAGCCCTTGGCCCTTTTACAAAGCAAGTTGTGGTTTATAACATTTCTTAAGAAGTGACTCAACAAAAACAATTCTCAAACCCTGTTTATGCAGCGGCACAAACCTGTTAGCCTCCCATTATTACTACTGATTGTGGGGTCACCAGTTCTCTCCACTAAGAAAGGCGGACCCCTGCGGTCTAGACTGTTTTCTAGAGTTGGAGAGATGGCTTGATATCAAACCTGATGTCCTGAGTTTGATCCCTAGAAGAATCCATATGGTGGAAGGAGAGAACTGGCTCCCAAAATCTGTCCCCTGACCTCTGCATGCATACTGTGACATGTGCCTGTGAACACATGAACACACACAAACCTTTTAAGAACGTTTTTCTCGCTGGGCAGTGGTGGCGCATGCCTTTAATCCTAGCACTCAGGAGGCAGAGGCAGGGGGATCTCTGTGACTCTGAGGTCAGTCTGGTCTACACAGCAGTTCCAAGACAGCTAGGGCTACACAGACAAACCCTGACTCAAAAAACAAAACAAACAAAGAATGTTTTTATCACTATGTGTCAAAGTAGAATAAAAGTGTCTCAAGTTCAGCGCCTTGTGCCTGTTAGGTAAGCAGTGTACCACTGAACTCTAACCCCAGCCCTCAGGTTAGGTAAGCAGTGTACCACTGAACTCTAACCCCAGCCCTCAGGTTGATTTTTGTTATTTTCCCACTCAAACTGCCAATTAGGTAATATGCAGATTGAGGAAACATTTAACATGTTTCAAGAAAAGGTTAATGGATACTAGACTGGGCCTCTTAGTGGCATTTTTTTTTTAAAGAAAAAAATGAAAACATTTATGCGTGTGTACATGCACATGCATGCCAAGCACATGTGTGGAGTTCAGAGGACAACTCTGCGGGTTCTGGGGACTGACCTGTTATGGTTAACTGTCACTTTAAGAGACAAGCCACGCCCACTCCCGGTGACCCCTGCCCTTCTCTCACCATCTTGATACTCACTGTCCCCTTTTGGCGCGCATGCTCTCTCTCTCCCGGGCCCTTCTCTGTCTCTCTCCTCTTCTTCTCTTTCTCCCCCTCCCCGCCCCATAAGTAATAAATATCCAATTCTATTCTGTACGATGTGTCTGTCCACGTGTCTCCAACGCACTCGCCCACCCAGCCGCTCGCTGCTCAGGACCTGCTCATACCCTCCCACCCCCCACCCCTCCCACCCCCCACCCCTGGCTTGCTGGGACCAGCCCGCCCATCATGCCTGAGACCAGCCACTGCTCGGGGACTGGCAGCTGTCTTTAGCTGTCTTTGCCTGGGACTGACTGCTCCCAGAGTCCACTGCCTGCCTATTGCCACCAGGGATCTTGTAGCATTTTTAACATGACCCCTGGACAACAGGCATGGTGACAATCTCCTTTAACCTGCTGAGTTGTTTCTTTAGCCCAACTGGTTTGTTTGTTTGTTTGTTTTTTGAGACAGGGCTTCCCTGTAGCTTTGGAGCCTGTTCTGGAACTAGCTCTTGTAGACCAGGCTGGCCTTGAACTCACAGAGATCAGCCTGCCTCTGCCTCCCGAGTGCTGGGATTAAAGGCATGCATCACCACCACCCGGCTCAGCCCAACTGGTTTTAATACTTCAAAGATCAATACTTAAGGACCATTTGCATATCTAGTTGTGGCCACATTTACATTGCTTTACCTCCCATGACTAAGATGATCTCTGCAAATGTGGAGAGCTCTCTGTGACTCTTAGTCCAGAGGAAGACTCATGTACCCATCAAGACTGTACAGCCCTTCACAAGGAGCCATGGCGTCCTAGTAATGCCCTGGCAAACATTATAGGAGTATGGATGTGAATAGGCCCCCAGGACTGACAGACCACGTAAAGATGAAGAACGTGGAATAAAAGTGTGGCAGGCCACAAGTGTATCGAAAAAGTGCCTATCTCTGCAGGGGTCAGTGTCAGCAGAGGATGAACAGCAAGAGTGAGGTTTGCAAACTGCCTGCTGAAATCCTCCTTTACGTTCAAGTTGGTCAAGTATTCTATTGTGATAGCTAAGATGCTGTTAGGAAAATAAAATGACACCAAAGAGCACAACTAAGCCATGTTACAGCTTTTCCTTTCTGTTCTTTCTGCTGTTCCTCTGCCAGCGCTGCTGAGGTGGCAGAAACTCCACATCAGCCGAGAAGGGTTACAGACAGACAGAAACAAGTGTCAGCCCTTTGTTTCAGTTCTCAGGGGACTGCTGGGATGAGTCTTTTCTGGAAAGTCTAGACAAAAGAGGCCATGGAACAGGGACTCAGAACCCGCCTTGACGCTAACAGTGAAAACTAAGCTCATTCTCTTTAAACGCTGTGAAATTCAAATCCACGGTATCTGAAGAATTCAAAGAACCCAAATGCCTTTGGCTGGACGATTCCAGATCTGCTGTCAAGAATAAACAAGGACTGTTCCGGGTGAACGGGAGCTTTGTGGGAAGGCTCGTTAGCGGAAAAGCCAGTTCAGAAGTTAATACATGAGCAAGGAAGATGGCTGCAGCGAGTCTCTCCTCTCCCCTTTGTAAGCCCTTGGGAAAACCATCATCACTGGTAATGATTATGAAGTTTTGCTCGAGAGACTGCCTAATGCATGGTTTGATGGGTTTATTTTCTAGACATCTTTACAAACCTCTCCTAGGAAAGCACCCGGAACGTCTAAACTCCCCAAATATGCTGTAATGGCTTCAACATTCTATTCTATAACTTTGTCCATCTGCGTCTTGGCTTGTCCTGGCTCTCAGCCTTCTGAGGTAGGAAAGGGAAAAGCAGAACAAGACAGTAATAGGGTGAGCCCAACACTTGGCTTAACATTGAGGGAATTATCCATAGGATGAGAGGATCCTGAAATACATTATCTGGTGGGCAGTAGCCCCAGTCTGACACTAAAGCTGGACTCTTGCTTTCAGACAGTGGGGATCATGATGATTCCCCACCTCCTTCCCAAGCCCTCAGGAGCACAGACAAGACATCTTTGATTAAGATGCACACAGCAGAAGATAGGGTTCTTCCGCAGCAGCAAGACCACAAGCATGAGTCAATCATGAGATGGAGGTGGATGACTAAGTCAAGTCAGCCTAGCTGCCCTAGAGACACATGGCTCTCTTTCCCTACAGAGCCACACTACCACATGTGACAGTACGCAAGGAGATTTCCCTTTTAAGACAGAACTTCAGCCTCAGAAACCACAACTCTACTTGCCCGATATCAAGCAAGCGCCAGTGTAAACATAGATATGAGAGTCCTCACCTCCAGCTCATACATTGGTGGCCCCAGGATGTCTTTCAGAGCGTGGAAGTCGATGAGAATCGGCATTTCTGGTGGCAGGGCCAAGTCCGCAGTGTCACTGATGGCTTCAGGCTTCGCACCTTCCAGCACATGTTCTCTGCAACCTAAGAGGAACACTTATGTTCAAGTTCCGAGAGAGCTGCCTGTCTGAGCAGTCACTAGTGGGAAAGTGTAACCGAGGCACAGTGACTACTGCGCTCCAGTCCTCTATGCACTTACGGGCACAGACCGCCTTCACCTGTCACAGGGGGAGGAATCGTCTTTTAAAGCCCTTATGGGAGAACTCGCAAGTGCCTCTACATGGTTACTGTCTCTGCCCCTCACAAGAGGCAGACCTGACTATCTTCTTTTCATATATAAATTCTCATTGAGAATAATGTGGAGTGTGGTGCCTCAAGCCGTCCAGCAACTGGGAAGCTGAGGAAGGAGGGCTGCTGAAAATCCTAGGTTAGCCTGGGTTATAAAATAAGACCCTGTCAAAAACAACAAACACCTGCTACGTAGTAATGTTGAGGCTAGGTAAAATGGACTATATTCCAGCATTTGGAAGGTCAGGCAGGAGGATCACAAGTTCAAAGCCTGCCTGGGTTATAGAGGGAATTTAAGAGCAATCTGAGCAACTTAGTGAGACTGCCTCAAAGATATAAAGTCAGGCATGATGGTGTACGCCTTTAATCCCAGCACTTAGGAGGTGGCAGTCAGACCTCTGTGAATTTGAAGCCAGCCTGGTCTGTATAGCCAGTTCCAGGACAGCAAAGGCCATATAGTGAAACCCTGAGTAGTGTAAACAGACAAATAAGTAAAAGCTGGGGATACTTTCACTGGGAGTATGCTTGCTTAGCACATAGAAAGTTTTAGATCAAAACTTGGCTCACTGTTAAACAAAACAACAATGAAAGCAGGCACAGTTCAACTACTGGCCCCGGAGACCATAGGCTGAAGGTGCAGACACAGCACATTACTTAGTATAGTATAGTGCTATCGGATCAGTATAACCTGAGCCTAGCACAAACTCAACTCCCTCTTAGAGGAGTTTGATATGGTGTTGTACTTTCTTTCTTATATGTTTTTGGAGATAAAGAGTTTTATTGTGTAGAATAGGCTGGCCTCAAATATTCAATCTCTGCCTCAACCTCCCGAGTGCTGTAATTACAGGTATGTGTCACCATTTCTGTAGGTGTCCTGTGGCAGTGGAGGGTGCTCATTTGCTCACGGCTGCTCAGACCTGAAATATTACATAAAACTGTATTAATTAAAACACTGCTTGACCAATCACTTAAACAAATTGCTAGTTAGCTTTTATATCTTAAATTAACCAATTTCCATTATTTTATATTTTGCCGTGAGGCTTGCAGTTTACCGCTAAAGTTCTGGGCATGTCTGCTTCCTCCAGTGGCTACATAGCATCTCACTGACTCCACTTACTTTCTCCCAGCATTCAGTTTAGTTTCCCCGCCTAGCTCTATCTGCCCTATCACAGGCCAAAGCAGCTTCTTTATTCAATAACCAATAAAAGCAACACATTGCTTTTATTTCTACATCAGTCCTGTCTCACTTTCTGATGGGTAATGTGAACCTAGAGATGATAGAACCTCATGATCTATGTATGGGTTTTGTTCGTATGTTTGTGTTTTTAAAGACAGGGGTTTGCTATGTAGCCTTGGTTGACTTCTAACTCATGATCCTTTTGCTTCACTATTGAGTGCTGGGGCTGAGGGCATGTGCCATGGTACCTAGCTGGCAATGGCTCTTTTGTAAGGATAAAGCTCATCTTTAAGGTTATTACCTGCCCATAAATAATTGGGCATGCTGCAGTGAAAGATGCAGAAGCCGAGTTGAGGTGCTTCTCCCCATGGGAGCATGCTGCTTGGATGATAAAGTAAAACACACTTATTTTTGTCCGGGGTTGGCACAGGGGGGCTGGACCATGCTGGGCTCAGAGGTTTTGTAATTCTTCAGGTGAGAGATATTACATGATCTGCAATCAGACCTAAAAAAAAGTTGAGGTTTAAAACTGTAGGGGTCAGGGGAGCTGGAGAGATGGCTTAGTAGTTAAGAGTATTTGCTGCTCTTTCAGAGGGTCTGGGTTTGGTTCCCATTACCCATATGGTAGCTTACAACTTTCCATAACTCCAGTTTCAAAGCCTCTTCTTGCCTCGAGTGCCAGGCAAATATGGAGTGCACAAGTATATATGCAGGTAAATGAGGCAAAACATTCGCACACATAAAAAAAAAAAAACAAGCTAACAAAACAGCAATCAAACCCTCCAAACCTGTACACTGGAGAGACAATTTCAGTGATAAAGGCACTGGCAGCCAAATCTGACAGGTTCAGTTCCCAGGCCCACAAGGGGACCGACTCCCTTAAGTGCACCTGACTTCTATACGCATGCATTTACACATGTGTGCACACACACAATATCTAAATTAATACCTGTATTTTAGACAGGCTCTCACTATGTGGCTCTGGCTGATGTGGAGCTCTCTATATAGACTTGGTGGGCCTCAAACTGAAAAAGAACTGGGAATAATGAATGGGATGTGTTACCGTGCTGGGCATACAGTGCCCAGTGTTACAGTGTCTTAAAAACTGCAGGAAATTGTGCCTCTGTTTTGTCTCATACATTCCTTTAGTCTATTTTTATCATGGAGAGTTTTCCTTTTTCCTTCAATTATGACAGATAGAATCAATGGGTATAGTAGTCTGGCTTGGTAGTTACTGTCTTTCAGAATTTGAACTACATCTGCCTAGGCCCTCCTGGCTTTTAAAGTTTTAGCTGATTAATCTGTTGCTATTCTGATGGGCTTGTGTCTGTGTAGCTTGGTGTTTCTTACTTGCTTCTTTCAGTATACTTTTTGTTTTATATATTTAGTGTTTCAATTATGACAGAGGGGATTCCTTCCTGATCTTAACTGTTTGCTGTCCTAAATGCTTCCCATGGCATCTCTTTTCCAAATACATTAAGTAACATAAAAAAATTTAAATTAAAAATAGAGAAGTATGTAATTGAATGATTACAGATCGAATGAACTGAACAGACACTATAGAACATTCTTCTGACACACTGCAGGATACATATTCTTCACAGAAAACCATGGAGCTTTCTCTAAAATAGATCATCTATTAGGACAGAGCAAGCTTCAACAGACACAGGATAATTGAAATAATTCCTCATATTCATGAGAATGGAATAAGACCACAAATCAACAGTAAGAGAAGCACTAGAACACATATAAACTCCTGGAGATTAATGCCCTATTGAATGATGAGTGAGTCTCTACAGGAGTCAAGAACATAACAAAAAAATTCTTAGAATCAAATGAAAATGAAAACACAACATTCCCAAACCTAAGAGATATAAGGAAAACAGACCGAGGAAAAGAAGTTTATATAGCTCTAAGTGTCTACATGAAGAAATCAGAGAGGTTACAAATAAGTAATGAATGATCCACCTTAGGGCCCTGGAAAAACAAGAAAACCCCCAAGACAGTAAACAGAAAGAAATCATTAAGATCAGGGCCAAGACTGATGATGTGGAATCAAACAAAACATAAAGAATCAATGGAACAAAAACTGGTTCTTTGAAAATATTGACAAACCCTTAGCCGAACAAACCAAGAGAGAGAAGACTTAAATTAATAAAATTAGGAATGAAAAGGAAGCCATTATTTGAAATACTAGTGGAATCCAGGTATCATTTGGTCTTACTTTAAAAGTATAAAGTCTACTAGATTGGAAAATGTATAAGAAATTGATGAATTTTTAGATGCATATGACCTATAAAAATTAAGCCAAGTCGAGATTACACAATTTAAACAAATCTGTACCAAGCAGTGAGATTGAAGTAGTAATTAAATCTCTCTACACTGAAAAAGTTTAGGCCCAGATGGATTCACAGGTGTATTTCCCTAGACCTTCAAAGGAATAATATGTCTAAAACTAGTCAATAAAATAGCAAAGAAAGAAATATCACTAATCCCACCCCCCCTTTTTTTTATAAAGCTAGTATTACCCTGAAACTAAAGATAGATTAAAAAAATAAATTTCTCTAATGCACTTAGATGCAAATCTTTTTGGCAAAATACCTGCAAATTGAATTCAAGAACATATCAGAAAGATCATTCACCATGATCAAGTTGGATTTACCTCCAAATAAGATGCTGGGATGGTTCAATACATGTAATCAATAAATGTTATAAATTATATAGAGACTCAAAAGACAGAACATGCCTGTCTCAGTAGATGCAGTAAAGGAACTTGACAAAATCCATTAGGCAGCACTCACTGGACTCAGTGGGTTACCAATGTGAAAGCAGGAAGGGGATGTGCTGGAGGGAGCTCTGGAGGGTGAGGGCGGAGAGCTGCGGTGGGTCTGATCAAGATACACTGTATATACACACTAAATTAACTTTTTTCTCCCTGTTTAAATAGTTTGAAAAAAAAGGAAGTTGAAGTTTTTAAGAACTGTCTTACTATCTTCAGGGACATCTTCATGCCTTTTTGATAGATAATCCAGACTGTTTTAAGTTAATTCAGGATATGGCCAAGATGGTCAGAGAAAATTCAAGGCACTGAACTGCAGTAAGGTAGCAGGGAAGCACACAACACGGGGCTCCAGCGTGGATGCTGGTACAGATGCAGGCAGAGCTGGAGTGGGTGAATTTCCCAGGGACCAGGAACACTCTTGAACTGTCTCCAGCTACAGAGCCCTCAGCAGCCAGCTGTCAGTTACTGCTGAGAGACTTGCAGGTGTGCCCTTCCCTTTTCCTCTTACACTGAACATGATTCTGATGAAAGCAGGTCTCAGAGCTATCGAAAAATCACGAGGGACAAAGAAGGGGAGGTTCTGGAAGATGGGAAAGGGGCTGGCAATGTAACTCAGTCAGTAGGGTGCTTGTATATCACACATGCAATCCGGATTCTAGGACCACATTAAAAAAAAAAGGTGGTGACACATGCCTGTAATTCTAGCATAGGAGGCAAAAGTAGCCAAAGTTCAAGGCTACATACTGAATCTGAAACTAGCCTGGGCTACATTAGACTCTGTCTTTTTTTAAAAAAAAAAAAAAAAGAGGAGAGGTAAAGGGAAAGATTCTAGAGTAT